CATAAAAATTGATGTTTATCTTTTTTTTTTTATTATTAACTTTCAAATTAACAAATTGAGTAATGAATAGTTCTAAAATTTGAATTAAAAATCTAGAGTTTAATATCAAACTTATTGACATAAATTCATGAAATAGTAGTTCAATAAAATTTTGAATGCAAGTCAACAAACGAGATGACATGGCCTTTCACCTGTGACCCATCTCAAAAGGGTTAATGAAATCCAAAGCTTAAGATAATAAGCTTTGAAGAAAATATTTGTTACACCAGATGGTATAAGAATAAATGCCTGGAAAAGTTCAAGATAAAGAAAGCATAGTCTGTAGAAACATAAAAAGAAATACATGTAACTAGTAAAAGTTTATAAGTTAATATGGAATTAAGCAGCTACAGCATGGATATTTTTCTTTAATCTAAGTTTAATATTTTTCTTGAATTACACTCAGTATAAGTAAAAAAATAACAAACCGAAAGTGAAATATCTTTGTTTAGAATCACTTGAAGCAGATGAGGAGGAAGAATTGGAGGTCCTGCTGACTTATCATATGGATTCCTCTGAGGAATTTCTTGGCAATACTCACCAGGTGGAGTCCCAGCCATGTCTTCTATATATATATAGAACACAAAGAACATTTAAATTCAAAAATACATTGTTTTTAAACTGCCCTCCCATATATTATAAAAAACTTAGATGTTTTATCCAATGCATTTTAAAATCAGTGTATTTTGTTTTATATCTCTTTGATACACATTTAGCAGAAGTCTATCATTGACTACCCAAAGAATTGGACTTATTTGTAAAAGGGGCAACATGTAGTATTTTGAGTTGTTAAAAAGATACTTACTAGCAAGAGCTAGTAGGTTAACCCTTTAGCTCAGTTGATACAGCACTCACTTAGTATGTGACAGATCTGTGGTTAAAAGCTGAGGCGAGGATATATATTGAAAAAATAAACTACCACATATTAAGCAACAAAATGTTGAACCACATGAATGGAGGCTTGCAAGTTCATTTAAAACAAGTTGTTGTTTTATAGTGAAACAATTAATAAATATTTGTATTTCTACTAAAAATGAAAACCAACTGCTTACATTTTCTCTTTTACTTTTACATTGAAAAATGGTAAACTATGTAACTTTCTTTCATCTGCTGAGAAAATTTCACTTACAGTTTCTGATCAATTTCTAAATCATTTGAATGTCCAACTAATAACATAGTAACAGTTTAAGAAGAATAACCTAATTAAATGCATCCTCAGTATTAACTGCACAACTAAAATTTATCTAACCCATTAATATTTATTGTATGTTCCCAGTTTTAGATTAACAAGATTCCCACTCCCCCTGTATACTATCTAGTTAAACCACATTAATTGACATAGAGTAATCAGCTATGCATTTGCGGTATGCAGGCACAACATGCGTTTTCTACTTTCTTATTTTAATTTACAAATTATCCTGAATCTGTTCAAATTGCACAAGAATGTAAACAACAGTAGTGTCCTCCAATGGTAGGGCAGATGATGTCTTAAGGTTATGAATTTGTTGAATGAGAATGACTAGTCATAGGGGTAGAGCTAGTCACATGTGTAATTTTGATGGTTAACAGAAAGATCTTGAGAGAAGAAAATCTACTGATCTATTCATGATTCCAAAGAAAGGTGACCGTTTATTGTACAATGCAAGCATGTGTCTTGTGTTGTTGACATAAATACTGTTTTCATTCTGTTACACATCATGACCACTCTATTTATTAGCTTAAACTCAGTTAACTAAATTAACATCTGGTATATCCAGAATGGCACGTTGATCAGTGTCCCTGAGGATCAATCATGGCACAAGGGAAGAACAGAGAATTGAAAGTTGTTGAGGTGAAATGGTGTCTAGTGATTCCAAGACCATATGGGATGGTCTCTAAAGGACTCCTAGGCCATTACCAACCAAAGAAACACAACCCTAGCAAATTGTGCATTCTCCACCAGTTAAAGCTATTTTTCTGGCAGTTGAGGCAGTGGAAACCATTAAGAAAAGACTGCAATCCATGTAGTAGTCATGATTCTTTCTGTGCCAGGTATCCTGCCAGGGTGACCATGCATTGCAAAGAAATGTGGGGTTTTACATAGCTTCAGAATGAGCTATTAAGATCAAATTGTTACACTCTGTTGCACTGGACCAGTGACCAAAGACTTGTATGAGCATCGGAGTCCCTGAGTACATCTATAACCCCATACCCATGTAGAAAATTAGTGATATCTCAGCCAGGAATTGGCCAAGAAGCCTCAAAGGAGAGGTTTTAACCAACACTACAGGTACTTGTGAGTGAAACTAAGGAGCTTTTGTTTTGATGTTCAAAGGTGAAGTGACAGAAAATCTGGACTGTTATTTGAAACATTTCCATCAAGTAACTGCTTGGAAAGTTAATCAGTTTCAACTCTGCAGGTCCAGGAGAACCAACAACAAGCTATAAATGTGGGCTTTGTCACCAACTTGAGGAAGTATGGCAGACAACTAGCACCAAAAAGTTTAGTGATCAGTTCAGACCTCTCGCTGCTGAGTGAAGCTTTGTATCCACCTATGAAGGTAAAAGGGTTAGAAATCAAGTACATAGTTGAAACAGGAGCATCCAGAAAACTAGTATACTTCACTTTATATCAAGCACTTCAAGAGAAACCACCATTATAAACAGTGCATAATGACATTGTTCTGGGAAAGGGCATTAGACTAGATGTAAATAAATCATCTATCAAAACAAAGTCTGTATTGTCAACAGCTCATAAAAGAAGAGGTTAATTGAAATTTTCTAATTTCTAGCAGTTAAAAAAACAATAATGTATAAAATGCAGTTTGTTTTGGTAGAGTTAAATGAAAAACAAAATCTCGAACTGAATTTAAAAGAAAAATCTCTTTCCATAAGAATATCAATGAAGGCATAAACAATAGTTGTGGAAAGAATAACAATTGTTATTTAAAATAATTCATTCAAATAATTATTTTTTTGCAATAACATTTCAAAGATGAGGTGAAATAACTTAATATCTGGCTATATTTTTCAAAATAAACAAAATCAGTGGAAAAAATGTCTTATAACATACGGTATGCCTTTTTTGGAGCACACAAGTTATATTATTTTGAGGTAAAATTTCAAAACTTACTGGCTATGGAAAAAAAAACCCTGAAACCATGCATTGGAAAGTTCTAATAAAATAAAAAAATTCTAAATTTTCTTTGTTGGCGAATCTAGTCAAAATGTATGATTATTACACACCTTTGTTTATGATGAATTCAGTTTTTAATATACCAAATATGTTTATTATTTCTAATAGCTTTGAGCAACTATCTTGCAAAATATCAAGTTCTGATATTTGTGAAACATTAGTTTCCATTATGTGCATCTAATGATTACATAATATTCTTTACATAATTAAATACAGACTCTTAATTCTCCAGCCAGTGTAGAGAATAAACAAAAAAAATATTAGGTACTTATTCTCTATGTGAATATCAAACCTGAAGAACGTTTAAAAGATAGTGAAAAAAGTTTCATTGAGAAATAATAATTGTTAAGATACAAATACACAGATGAATAATATGATGTCTAATTGTGAATCTGATACATATCTTTCTTTAAGTATCTTTTCAAACCTTACTTTGAGAACCACTTCCTGAGTTTACACTGTCCATGGCAAGAGCTTCAAAAACCTCAAAATCCTGTTTCTGGACATTGATCAGGTTCTTCTTGGCTCCACCAGACTCATCAACATTAGGCTACATGGATCAAAACAAAACAATTAAACCTTCCCTGTTTTTATAAATAACAACAAGTTCTAAAGAAAAAGCAAATTCATTTTTACTCATTATGATGTGACACAATCCTCAGAAATAACAATAATGTCTGCTTGCATATAATTGGAAAAATAGTCCTTCTTTTTAACCTAAATAAATAAACATAACAGACAATGTTTTTAACTTATGGTGAAAACACAATCATACATGCATGCACAGAGTACATTGCACAAACAAAGACAAGTAAATTCGTATAGTGCTCTGTAACTATGTAAAATGTTTTCATCACGTGCATCTAATGATTACATAATATTCTTTACAGAATTAAATACACTCTTAAATCCCAGCCAATACAAAGAATAATCTTAAGAAAATATTATGTTCTTATTCTATATTATTATTTCTCATAGCTTGAAGCAACTATCTTGAAAAATATCAAGTTCTTATATATATTAGCAAATTAAATCCATGTTTTTACTTTCAAATTCTAAGACTATTTTATCAAGACCCATAAAGAAAAACTACATGAAAATATCATCTAAGAAAAAAAATTTTCCATGATAACTTTTGCAGGAAATCTCTTTTAACTCTTTCAGCATGGGCTGGGCCCCAGGGACAAACCTCCTAACCATTTTGTGCTTGTTATAGTTTTCATACTATAACTTTTAAATTAGTAAGTGTATCTTCACAAAATTTTGCATATTATCAGTAAATGTTACAAGGCTTTTGTATGGAAAATATCATATTTTTGAATTAAGTTTTAAGATTTCTTAAGTAATGCTTTTCTCGTGCCTTTTTTTCTTTTTGAATGTTGACTATCCAACATGCAAAGTAATTTAGATTTTAAGGTTAAAAATACTTTTATGCATCAGAAAATTTTCAAATTTAACATGTGAAATCTTTATAACCATCTAGATAATTATCAAACGTTTTTTTAGAAAAAACTTTATATTTTGTGTTATTTTCACTACTGTACCTCTGTACAGGTTGGATCAATTTGACTGACTTTGTAACCACCATAAAAAATTATGAACTAAATACAAATTATACTTTTTTCATTCTTGATTGACTACAAATTATAACACAAAAATATAAATGTTTAGTCTAAATTGCTTAAATTTCATAACATTATATATATTTTTTTTTTATGATATTGACCTTTCAGTCGTACCTGGCTAACATTACAGAAGTTGCAATGATGCAGCACATTTGCACTTATGTTACCATATCCAAGAATATAAAACTGGCCTTTATAAAGTGACCTGCCTTGGCTGTGTTTTAGTGGACTAGTATTTTGTAAAATACAGTCACATTTCAGTTATACTACATTATATATGTATATACATTATTATTATTTAAAAATAAGTTCTGAAACTTATTTTTCTTCACAGAACAGTAAATAAAAAAATATAGCAAACAATTATCTCTTCTAGTTATGAACTTTGTATTTATTTGCTGCTTAACATAGGTTGCTTACGCTTATGAAATTTTGCATGTAGAGAATGTGAAACGAAATATTTTTTTTGGGTTTTATATACACATTTTGAAATAACCAAAAATCATAAATTACTACATCAATACCACATAATTCCACTATAATTTATCAAGCTTAATAACTAAGCTGTATTTGGGTCTAAAAAAATACAAAATTTCAAGCTCACTAATGTCTTACCTTACTGCTTGGAATCTAGCACGAAAAGAAAGAGTTTGTTGTGCAAACATTCTGATCTTTCCATTGGTTATGGAGGAAAGTAGGTGTACGTAAGCAGGTATTTTCAAAGATTTAAGAAGTGGGCGAGGCCACCTTGGTTGATTCAATAAATGTATTAATATCTCAGAAAATAGAAAAGATAGTAGGTTCTTATTTTACATTATAGCTTGTCATATCAGTAATTTGAGTGTATAATTCATAAGAAACTATAGACTTTGTATTTTGACATCATACACATGATATTTAGGTCTGTTTTCTTAATATTTACCTTTAAATTAAGAAATTAACTAATGTATAATACTAAAATCTGAATTATATTCTACAATTTGATACCAAACTTATTGACATACATTCATAAAATGTTAGTTTAATAAAATTTTGAATGTGAGTCAACAAATGTGATGACATGGCTTTTGACCAGTGACCCATGTCGGTATGGTTAATTAGACCTGCAATATTACAAAAAAATAATAATAACAGGTAGATATCCTCTACAAGGGGAGAGAGAGAGAGAGAGAGAGAGAGAGAGAGAGAGA